TTGTCTGCTTCTGGCTTACAAATTTTGCTAAAAACATAAAATCCCCCCTTCCAAACCAAATTCTTATAAATAAATAATAAATCAATTTTATATAGTGATTATCAGCCATAGAGTAAAAATGTGCTATTGAGAGCTATAAAACAGTATTGTAGAATATACGTGTTGTACGGGTTGGCAGTAGAACACAAATTGTCGTGTATTATATTATGTGGCTTATAAAATATGTTTGAAGTATGATTATTTATATTTAATAGGTATATTTTACTTTTAAAACATAATACCTATAATAATAGTGTTACACTGAGATTATAACTCAATGTACATTATTAATTTTTGATAGGTTATAGGAATACATCGGTAATGTTATTTATTCTATACAATTATATACATTAGGAATATTCCATAACTTTATTTTATAAAATTAGATATTTTATTGAGTATTATGAAATAAAAATGTATACTGGCCTTTTTAAATACGTTTACATTTACCTTTATTAAAATAAGTGTAACGGAATATGGGTGTGGATCTGGCCAGTGCGTTGATGTCTCAGTCACTTGTAATGGGATACGAGATTGCAGTGATGGATCGGACGAAACTTTACTTTTATGTGAAATGGTCCTGTAAGTCGATAATGAGTTATAATAAAATTAAGGGTACAAAATTGAAAATATAGTTCACATTGACATTTTACATTTAGGTGTCCACAGTTTACATTTAAGTGCAAATATGGCGCTTGTATCAGTGGCAAGAATTTTTGTGACGGCATCGAACAATGTGCTGATGGTTCAGATGAAGAAAAATGTTCCAATTCAACGTTAATATCAACATTTACAAGTTTAATACCAAAAAAAACTGACACAGCAAAACCAATAACACCATCTCGTATTAAGTAGGTTACTCGAATAAATTTTCACCTATATAGTTCCATGATAAGGTACATTTTGAATTTAAGTATACTTAAGTCTTGCAAAATGAGTCCTAAAAATATTACTTGAAAAAAGTTAGGTAACACATTATATTGTATTGTATTTTAAAAGTATATAATTTTTTAATATGTAATTAATCCCTATTATTTCTCTATATTAAAACAAATGTWTCTATCATCTATGAAACAAAATATTGATAATATTGAATATTATGATAATTGATGACTGGTAATTTAATTCTTGTTATGTTGATTTTAGGAAAACTTGCACGTTACCGGCAATCGAGGGCACAAAATATTTTTATAAAGATTGGAATGAAAATGTTTCTCTGTCTCATTCCACTGAAATTGAACAATATCGCATTGTTGAGGAGGACTGTGAAGTTGGGTATTATAAAGTTGTTCCTTATAGATTTATGGTGTGTTCTGAATCCGGTCAATGGAGACCATTCGTAACGGAAGAATTATGTTTGAGTAAGTTGCCATTTCCTAYTGTATAGTGTTGAATTGTATTTGATACATAAATACAGATTATGTAAAAATGTATTAAAAAGATAAAACTTTTGGTTTGATCTGACTGATTTTATTAATAATAAATATAATATTATACATATATTATTCAACCGTTACTACTGAATGTGCATTAATATAATTATATTTTATTGATGTAACCAGAAATGTGTCCACCTATGAAATCAGATAGCTTAGATTTTGAATGTACCCATGAAGATAAATATATTAGTTGCTTAACTCCAATACCTGGAACTATATTGTATCAACAATGTAAAGTCACTCATAGATTACCTAGCGGAAAAGATCAAGTCCAAATTCAATTAATTTGTCTGGAAAATTCAACATGGAGTGATGACGGTCTATATACGTGTATTCCAAGTATTTTTTCATTAATATTATTATTATTATTTTTTAACTGCCTATGACATCTTTATTTAAAAGTCTTTATAAATACAATTCGTTGTGAATGTGTACAATATGATAATTTATAAGTAATAATAATTAAAATAATTACTCAAATATATATTGTACAAGAACATGTTTGGGGTTATACCTCCAATTAGACAGCCCCTTTCCTTAACCTAAGTTACTTAAACTAAATCTTATGACTTTAAAYATTTGAGGCGCCTTATGTCTTGCGATTTAATTAGAAGTTGTAAAGCACTTGCATTGGAATACAGCTTAAGTTCTTACACAYGTTTGTCGGCAAACTTTTTGATTTCATCCTGAATGGATGATATATTTAAATCTTGATAGATGATTTCATTCCTGTCAAACCGTTATACTGCAACAATGGTACGAAGAGCAATATTCTGACAGCGTTGAATGACTTTGATGTTGGATTTGCTAACACAACCACACAGTTAGGTTATAGTTAATTAAGTCCAAATCGGTTTGATAATAGCATATAGAAGCTGTTTGTTTGTCTGATACAACTAGCCAATACAGCTTGCGCATTTTTTCTTTAATTTGTAATCTTTCTGGTAGACATGGTTTTTCTAACTAAGATGAGAATCCATGCAGACCCAAGTATTTAACTGAATCTTTTTGTGGAAATGTCGTGTGATCCAGAGACACTGGAAAATTTTCAGTTTTTCGAATTTTACAGTTTACGTGTAGGTACCGATTTATTGCTTAGTTATCCTTTGTACCAAACCTTGTCAAAACCTTGGGCTACGTTTAAGAACATTCCGCAACAATATATTATTTTTCTAATGCTTTATTAATTACGTTAGTGATACCGGTGAACTTGGACAATAATAAAATCGTTATTCCGAAATCCAAACTGATGGTCTGGTACGAGTTGTCTTTCTTCAATAATACCTAATTTAATGCCTAATGTTAATGATGATAAGCTAAGCCTTATTCTTAAAGAACTCCAGAATATTAAATCCCGTCAATTAAAATCTGATGACTTGTTGGTCAACATCTCTACGTCAGTTAATACTCTGAATCTAAAGCTATCGGAGCAAGAAAAAAACTTGTCRCCCTTTGGTCATTTAGTTTATTCGCTAAATAAACAGCTCACTATAATCACTAAGGAAGTCAAGGAACATGCCCAACGCTTCAAAGTTCTTGAAACCCGCATMGCTGCCACAGAAAAGACTCTGTCTGGCACAGTCGTGCAATCTTCTTCGCCATCCATTAATGACATTGCCTTGGAAATCCAACAAAGGTCACTCTGTGGTCTCAATATAATTATACGGGGAGCACCGGAATCCTCATAATTTCAGTTACTTGGCAAAGTTTCTCATGGCAAAATATTCATAGCTGACTTATTCAAAAAACTTAATCTTCCGGGCCCTACCGCATCTATCGTCAATGCTTTTAGAGTCGGGAAAATGTCTAAARTTAAACCACGAATCTTGAAGGAAGTGTTCTCTTCACGTGATCCAGCCGACTCTGYGTTAAAGTCTTACCTAAACACTCACGCCACTTCACCGGATCTCATTTCAGGCATCGCTATTTCACGGGACCGTACCTACTCTGAACGGCAATCGATTCGCGAGGTTAGGTTACAACTGCATATCAGACAAGCGAGTGAACCCAATATCACCATCCGCTATTTCAATGGTCTTCCAAGAATTGTTAACATTTATGCTAACAATTGTTAAATAAACAACCTTAAACCATGATCGCTTCCAAAAACACTAGCCACCAATCAAAAAAAATTGTSATTTATTCAAAATTAATTGTACGCAAAAAGCTTAGTTGTTATATTATATCCGCTCTAMCTTTTAATGAATGCAACATTTGTAATAATTCTCGAACCACTTTACCAAATTTTTTATGCAAATATTATATGTTTCTTTCTAAATTCTCAGCTATTCCTCCCCCACCCAGCATATAAAACCATTATAATGTAATTAATAACGATTACAATAACRCTCATTGTTCTAATATTAATTCATCCAAAGCAAGGTTTTGCACCTCAATGATTAAAAACTCTAACTTCCCTACTTATGTTTCCGCCAATTTTTTACGTATTGGGTATTACCAAAATTGTAGAGGTCTGAAAACCTAATTAAAAACTTTAATTTGCAATGTATCAATTTTCAACTATATTTTTATATGTCTTACAGAAACTTGGCCATGTGATAATATTAATGATRATGAATTTAGTTTTTATAATTATACCATATATAGATGTGATAGAAATGCTCAATCCAGTATTTTTAGTAGAGGTGGTGGTGTTCTTATAGCCATTCGCAATGAAGCTGTTATCCAAATAATTAATAATAACGTCGAACATTATTATTTGTTAAGTTTTGTCTAAACAGTTTCAATTTTGTGRTAAGTTTAGCATACATTCCTCCTAATAGCTCCTTATGAGTCTTACTTATCGACTGTTCAGTCCGTTATAAATGATAATCCAGATTGTATATTCATGTTCTGCGGTGACTTWAATCTGCCTGACATCACGTGGTCAAATGACAATCTTGGTTTAACGTTTAGCTCTAAGACGAGTCTTAGTATTCACTGTCTTTTGGAAACATTTGCCTTTTTGAATTACTTTCAATTAAATCATCCCCAAAACTTCTTCTCTTCTTCTTCTCTAATTTCAAGTGGTTAAGTGTTCTCCCGGTCATTTCCTTCAGGAATTATTGSTGTTGCCGTTTTCGTTGCTTCAGTGATGTCATTGGTTAATTTTTGCACTACCATTTCAATATCCTATGATGTTTTTAGTTTCACTGAAAGAGTGATGGTTTCTTCAGTGATACTCCTAAGAAGATCTCAATATGTTCTTTTATTTGTGAGAAAGATTTTTCGTTTTTTCATTATGACGTTTGAACTTAGTGAGAGTAGGTAACACAGGAATATGGTCGGAMGATAGTTTCTATAAATATCTCAACTTCAACATAAACGAAATATTTGTTCAGTATGAAAAAGTTTAAGAGGTCGGGTATCTTATTTGGGTCAGTAGGTTTTCTGGTTTTTTTGGTGGGCTTAAACTAGCTTCTGAGCTTTGACCCATGTTTTCATGAGCATTTGTATTGTTTAAATTATTTTTACCGTAATGATATTAGTATTAATATTACTCACTTGTTTGTCTAGTAGTTGACTCTGTAATTGTACAATACTCACTTATAATTCAATTAAAAGTTTGTGTAGTGTCTCATTTTCATTTTTAATGCGTACCAAAGTAGCTTGGTCAACTAAAATTAGTGTTGACGCCGTGGGAGTATTGTCCTTCGAGCCCATTGCTGGACGCGCGATGGTTTATATAATTTGTATTATGATTGCGTTGTAAGCAAAAACATTGTAAAGATATATTTAATTTAATAAACACTTCGCACAATTCGACATACGCTAAGAACCTAGATGTTATTTGTTCGATAGTCAAAACACGACTTAAATTATTATTATTATTATTATTATCAGCACTGTGTAAAATAATTGTATTAAATTAACATTAAGTATACAATGAAAAAAGTAAAATATAGGAAATTATAAAAATATAAGCTTCATAAAATTATTTACAATTGTACAATATTTATCACTAATATATTATAAATAAATACAATTTATTCAAGTATCTAATAAACAAAACCATTAATACTATGATAGTGAAGCGGTTTCAGCTGAATCGAGGTGTATACAAATCCACATATTTATATTTGCAGTTTTATATTTTTTTTAAACAATAGACATTATACAGAGTTATTTACTAAGCATTCTCAACATCAATATTTCCTATAATAATAAATAAATTCAAACTCCGATTTTTGGAATTTTTAAATACACTCAAACACTATTATTTTAAATTCTTGAATTTAATTTAATTATTTAATTATCACTACACAACACTTTTGTTTTTCAAATGATAATGATAATTTTTTATTTTAAATTATTTAGTAGATAATTTTTTACTGAGGAAAATATTACTATTACAACTATAGTAATGACCAACCAGAATTCATTTGTATAATATGTAGTTATATGCTGTCTCTGAGCCAGCTACTTTTAACAGTTATGGTTACGATAGTTTATTAGTAAAATTAATTTTTTTTCGGCGATAAAAATATTTTACAAAATTATAAAATTGATGTAATATTGGATCCTAAACCTTATTATACTTGAGCCATTTTTTTTTTAAATTAATATTGTTGATAGATTAATCACTAAAATTTACAAATTGTAATAATCTCCAACATAATATTTTACAAACCTATTAGGCTTAGTACACAAAATTAAAATAACTTAAAAAGATACTCATATACCTATACGTAATTTAATTCTGGTACATCAAAATTTTCGGATAATTTATCTATTAAATAATGTATAGTAGAAAAGGGGTTATATTTTAAAAAAACAATTTTTTACTCACAGGACACTCCTTTAGTATCTAGTAAAAAAATCTTAAGAACTTAATAATATGTTTCGTAAGTAAGTTTAAAAATTCCAAGAATCAGATTTTGAATAATTATATTATTGAAGATAAAGTGGGGAGCATCCCTGGCGAATTACCCCTCATTTTATTCTGTAACATTGTTTTATAATATTATTATTTATTAAATATTATGAACTATTAAAATATGATCATAGCTTGTGGTTTACTAAATACTAAAAGTGATGTACAAAACGACGGTAAAGAAAAATATGGGACAGTGCCTTGGAGCGTAGGATTATATCGTCAAATAAAAAGTCGTGACGRGTATTATGAATTGATATGTGGAGGAACATTGATTGCTCCGAATAAAGTTATCACTGGTATAAAAGTGTTTAACAAAATATATTTAAAGAAGAATTAAAAATATGTATTATTTTTTATAGCGGCTCAGTGCTATTGGGAAGAAGGCTATACGAATAAAATTCTGATGAATAAAAATCATAAGTATACAGTTGCCGTTGGAAAGTATACTAGTGACCTTTCGATAAAAGACAATAATTTTACTCAAATTATCGATGTAAGTATAATTTCTTAGTTTAGAACAAAAATATCACTTGTTCCTAAGTATGAGTATTTACAAAAAGTAAATTTTAGGTGGCTTTCGTTTATTTAAAAGAGAGTTATTATGGTCCTTCTGGATATTATGCCGATAATTTAGCTATTGTCGTGTTACATACCCAAGTTACGATCAGTGATGCTATTTTGCCAGTTTGTATCGATTGGTCCAAACAGTATTCTATTCCAAACGGATCAAATGGAAAGGTAATTTTGTTGAATATTTTATACGGTTACCTACGCGAAACTTCTTGATCACAACTTAAAGACTCAAGTAGTTTACGTATAAAATATATAACACAAAGAACTAACTAACCAAAAATAAAAAATAAATAAAAAATAACAACAACACTTAATTTTAAAACCAATTTATTTGTCACTTCCGCTAGAATCAAAATATTTGAAAAAAAAAACTTAAACAATTTGTATTTGTTTGTTTGTAGGTAATACCTATGTCTATATGAAATTCAGTCATCTTAATTTTATATATTTAACAATTATTATAATACAAGTATAAATAGTATGAAATAAATTAAACAATTTGTTTCATAGGTTGTCGGCTGGGGAATAACGGAAAAAATGGAAAAAAGTTCCGTTATGTTAGAAACAAACGTATCATTTACTGACAAAAACACTTGTCGTGATATGTATTCCAATGGATTTCAATCATTGGTGACTATTGATAAATTTTGCGCCGTTTCTCAATTAGGTAATATAATAGTTTATAGCTAATAGATTTTGCATAAATGCAAAATACATAAAATAGGTACCTACCTACTTAAAAGTCATAAATTTGTTAACTCTTTTATAAGATATTAAAATATTTATCAAATGTCTATAGACTATAGTTACAGCTAAAATTTTWCTTTGATAATTATTATGTATTACAATTTCCTGATTATTTACAGTACTTATATATAATATTTTACATTAGTGAAACAGTAAATTTTTTATTATGCATAATACAGTTATTTTAAATTATTAATTGCAGGACATAGTATTACTGAAGGCTTTATTGGTTCAGGTTTAACATATGAACACGGCACTTTACAATTTTTAACTGGAATAGTGAGTGTTACGGATCCATACTCAAACGATTTAGTCACTGTTTTTACAGATGTCAGATACCATATTCAATGGATTCAAGAACGACTTCTCTAATGTAAGTGAGTACATCACTTACACTAGAGAAGTACTTTTACATTAAGTAAAATGTATTTATTCATTCCATCACGCCAAACGATTTTTTATTATTTAAAATCTAAATATTGTGAAAAACTCGTGTTAAATTACCTACATTAAATTGTTTATAACATTATTATTTATTAAGTTAATATCTAACCCATATATATATATAATATTTACATACCTATAATATAATTACATGCTTACATTCAATAGTTTTAAGCAAAATATCATGCTGATTTGCGAGTATTAAAGTTTTACTAATCGATAATAATAAGTTATTATAAATAAGAATTAAATTCTCTTAGACACGACATTTAGGTCATATTATTACAAATTTTGRACATTTGGTTTTTTGAGTCCAATTATAAAAAATAATTAAATGTATTACATCACTTTTGCATCTAATGAGATGTAGACTTACAAAAACTTTACGATGATAACTTCGAGTTTCCATATTCTAAATTTATTAGAAAGGTCTACACTATATATTATGTARTAACAATAAGTTGAATGCACGAATAAATTTCCACTGTCATTGAACTACTCGATAATTACAGTATGACGTAATTTTAATTATACTATAATAAATTCAATAATTAATCTGAAATCCAAAAAATAAATTGGAACACGTCATACGTTTTGAATAAAAAAAAAAATTTTATTGATCTTTAGATCTACTTTTTTTTGTTATCTATTTTTATTCTTATTCACTTTAACAGCAAAGGTTATTAGTGTAAAGACTTATACTTTTTATATACTTTATTCATTAAATATATTAGATATTAAATTAGTAAAAAATTGTTTATACTTTAAATGTTGATTGACAAATATAACTAAAAAGTTTGATTCGTTCGATTAAAAAGCACGGTTTGAATTTAGTCTGGTACAATACCTAGTGCCTATTAAATAAAACATTGACGAATTCGGTTTAATACTTAGTACTTAGCCGGTTTTCCTTAAAATTATACCTCTTCCTTATCTGTTTTGAATTAGTGGATTCTGTTTTTTACCAAATGTCTTATTACATAGGCGTGTCTACGGTGGCAGCGTAGGATGCCTGGACTGTCCTGCAATTTTTGAAAGGCGCCTGTCAACCAAGTTTTAAATCTGGTGGTTCACAAATTTTATTTAGAAAAAAATGTCATGCATTACCTACTTATTTTTTTATAATAATATTGTATTGTATTGTCGAATTGATATCTCCATCTCTTTATGATTCTGATCGTAAATCGCTTTTTGCAACTGATATTTTCAAAAGGGTAAAACACGAGCTGCATCCGAGTTCCGTCCCAAATATAAAAATGTAATTTAAAGATAAAATAAGGTACTTGGGACGGATTTGTTGGGTTTTTAGTCGATTTCTAATGTAAGATTTACTGTTTTTGCATATTTTTGTACATGACTATTCGAGTGAGTTAGAAAAAGTTAGTAAATACATTGCATTTTATAACTTTTATCGCTCTTACTACCTAACGTATTGTTAATTATATCAAATATAACGAAATATCGTTTTTTACTATTATTTTTTTTATTAACTATTTTAGAACTTTAAATGTATTCGATATCCATTATATTATTGTTATATTATATTATACCTAATATTTATTAATACTATGAAATCAGTTAATTTTACAACATTGCATACAATTTCACACGCAATAGTGTCGCCAAAAGGGTCAAACGTACGCAATCGTGTTCTACTCTTTTATATGATGTTTTTTCATATGGTAATGATTTTGATGRTATTTTAACAAACTTTGATGTAACATATGTTAATGTGACATACAAGTTAATTGACAATACGTAAAATGTAAGTTATGTTCTTCAAAAGAAGCACATCTATGTTTGCTCCATATATGTGGAACATGCACAATGCAACAAAATTAGGATGATATAGTAGGACTAATAATATATCAAAAGGTTGGAAATTGGAACAATATAAGTTCCAACATTTAATTAGATTTAAACTTCCGCATATATTTATTCAAACTTTGCAGATATAATGAACTCCATAATCTCAAAAGAGATTTTAAAACTAAAYACTGTTATTCAAATAAATTCGAATACATTTATTGAAATKATAAAAAAAAACATCCTTATTTGTTGTCTCAGTCGTACGTAACAGCAAATTTAAGCTCAGCATTTCACGTTTTATTCCGTTAACTTAAAAATTAGAGTGAATAGACTTAGATCTACTATGAAATTTGATAGTAAGAACATTATCTGTATTTTTTGGGAAAGTATTTTTACGATAATTCAGTTTTTAAGTGAGTTATGAGCATTTTTAGCTTACAATTTATTATACGCGCATAACTCAATTAAAAACTAAATTATCGTAAAATTACTTTCAACAAAACACAAGATAATCTTCTTACCATCAATTTTCATAATAGYTCTATTAGTTTTTAAGGTAATGGAGTAAAACCTACGTGAACTGCTRAGCGTAAATTTGTTATGTTACGCGTTTGTAAGACATGCAGATACAACAAATACGTGGCGTGGCGTCCTCTTAAATCAAATGATGATAGGCTTATATGTAAAATATATTTAAAACGTCTCAATACAAAACAATTTATTCTGAAATTATTAGTTTTCTAAAAAACGTATTGTATGTAATCAAACATTAGATATGATATTTTTTATTTGTATTATAACTTTTATTTATATTTAGAAGATCTTTTATCTTTTAATTTTATTAGAATGAGCTTTTGAATAATATTACACTATGTATTATACCATAAGATTATTAAAAGTATTAATAAATTTTATATACGGTGTCAATTATCCAATTATTATGTGTCAAACATGACCCTTTTTTTTCAAACGTGGGTGGGTACTTGATACCTACCTAAAAAAGTAATAAGGTGTTATACAAGTTATAACCGTAGAAAATTGATAAAAAAATAAATCTAAATCATAGATAATATTTACATGATTAAAGATATTAATAATATGTGATAAAAATAATATTGACATTCCCGATGTCAAAAAATAAAAATTTTCCAAAAAGGTTGATGTCAACTATATGATTATCAATATTTTGAGGAAACTAAAAAATATAAAATAAAACATTCTTGTTTTTATTTTGCACTTTACCAGATTATATCTGGATTAAGCGTTCGATTCAACCAAGAAAGACTTAAATTAATCGAATGGGTTGGGAATTTGGTTTATCTCGAGACTACAAATGAAGATATTTTATATTTTTAAACTTTATTTGATATTAATGTTGATGAAATAAAACTATTGAAAAACATGGATAACACTGAAACATTAAAAGGAACATCAACTAAAGAAGTTTACATTTGGATAAAATGGCTCAACGAGAAAGATCGGTCAACTATTTTTAAAAATGTTTTGATTGTTCTTAAGTAATTCGTTATCATTCCTGTTACAAGTTGTAGCTGTAAACGGACCTTTTCTAAACTTACTATTATTAAAACCAAGCTTCGATCCACAATGAACCAAGAACGATTGGATGCTCTTTCATATATGTTTATTGAATAAGAAGAAACAGGGAACATCATCTATGATGAGGTCATTGAAGAATTTAAACTTTTGAATGGAGGAAATCGTAGAATTATTTTATAAATTATAATAATTACATTTTTTCATTTGACAGCACTATAATTACGTGTTATGTATAAACATACAAATTATTTAACGTATAATTTATAATAATTAATAAGTATTTATATTAATTGACAATTTTTAGTATTATATATTATTATGTTTTGAACGTTTTTTAATTATTTTATTAAATTATATTTGGTTAAAATTTAAAATGAATATTGATGAATTTTAAGTGTGTAATAATGAAAAATGATTGCTTACATTTTCCAGTCACCAAAAAAGGGTCACTTCGAAGTTTGTATTGAAAATTTCTATAATTTTTTTCTTGTGTAACCATGACTAGCGGTGGGTACGGGTAGTCAGATTGAATTTAGCCAAACCTAACTCAGAAGTCTGCGCACGCCTATGGTGTCAAATGTCTCGGGTCTATGAAATACAGAACGAAAAATGTTCAAAAAGAAGACTTGTTTTGTTCTTTGAATTTTGATATATGCATTATGCATGTTATAATTTTATAACATATATATATAATATAATACATTATGTGTACTTCCATTATTAATAATCACATTATGGTATGTGAAAAATAAACAATATTTTTAAATTTTTGTATCAAAATTAAATTTAAAATTTATTTTTCAGAAAGTAACAAAAATTACATTTTATTCCGCCTTCAAACCGCAGTACCTAACATATAATTACGATAGAGTAGCTACTCTAGTTAATTTTTTGCATGCTCATTTATCAAGCTACACGAATATAATTAWATATATACCTACTTAATATCATAAATTATCATCATGACATTTTTATTTCTAATTCGAGACTAATAGATATATGAATAATTGTCCTTGTCAAAAATCCTAAAATTATAAATTATAATCAAAAAACCCAAACGCAATCCAAAATGGCAAAGTTCAAATAGATAGGTACTTATCAAAATATCCGATAATCGATGTAATTATACAATATTTTTGCAAGATCGAAGCATTGAAGCATGTTAGCAGCCTTCTAGAAATACCTGTAGGTAAGAGAAATACTCGTTTTCATCGTRTTTTTTATGACGTAGTGTGGAGCGTCAAGGTCGGGGAAGAGTCTGGAATCCTTAGTTTAATACATATTATTATGTACCTAGGTACTAATATGTTTTTAGGTATTTCAAACACTCACAGTTCGCATTATTATATTCTATTAATAATACTCAATAAGTGCTATGTGCATTTCTTACTCCCGTACAAATCATTGGGTCGTATACATTATATATGTATGTATATATTATATACAATAACATTATTATAATTATATATYTAAAAACTTAGAAGTATGTAGACATATAGATAACCAGTTTTACAGTATAAAAACATTACAGAATACATTAAATTTGGAAAACAACAATTTTTTTCGTTCATGAACCTATGTATATTTTTCATTACTTARGAAGTTGCAGCATGCCCTTGATTTCGGCGTATTTATAGGTTGGTTATTCAGGTTATTGGGAGGGGAGCTGTTCATAATATATTATCTGTACAACTATAATGTCTATATATTATTATCTATTATCCTATTGAAAATACAACTTACATATTATAACGTGTAACAAATTGTAGTACTGTACACATATAAATTAACAAATACCAAACTTCCAAAACAAGAATATGATATATGTCTGCAYGAATATAAATGTAACCTAAACAGAATTGAACAAGATCTAGAAGTCCGAACATTCAAATTCTTAATATTCATTTGACACAAACGTAAAACAAATATCAAAAACATTACCGAATGATCAATTCACGAAACAATGCATATACAATATCATAATACGAGTAGGTATACAACGTTAAATGCAATCATCACATTATTTTTCTTGTTTAACCTTTCCTGTCGTTGGGGTTTGACACTAAAAATAATTGGACTATATATWTCAGTTATCTATGGTACCTAGACTTAATACATAGATAATATATACTATATATATTATCTATGACTTAATATCGTTTTGTCAATAGAAACGGTTCGTTTGCAACTGGGACATATTGTATTTTTTTTGACATTTTCAAGTATATTATAAGAAATTCATTAGCGCGGACGTCCTCATGGATGCCCTTTCTCAACACCAATATAAGATATACAAAAAAAAAAATATACACTTAGATTAACTAATTATTATGATGTCATATTTTATTATTTATTTATTCATCTTTGTAATTTACTGTAATTTACTGTATATATTGTAATTAATTTACGCTTAACAACTTCATGATGTTAAAAATTGTTTATTATATGAAAAAGTTCGATGACCTTGTATGTCAGAAACACTTTAAAATAAAATAAAAAAATAATAATAAGAAATTCCATAACATTGTATTAAAGTTTAAACCATTTTTTACAATATTAAACATAAATGCAGTCATGTTTTATTTTTTACCTATAATATTTCTATGATACATAATTAGTAATTTACAGTTTATCATKAATTTATCTTAAATTATGCATTTAATTTAAGCTAATATCTTAATTGTATACATGTATTGCGATTAAAAACAAATTGTGAAATATTTGGTAGGTATTTACATACTCGTAATATAACTGAATAACTTAACTATAGCCAAAACATGGACCTGCAGTTTATTCATAACAATAATATGGTATTATAAATGAGTTGGCAAGATATTGATTGGTTCAACGAATAGACAACAAAATTAATACAAACAATATATAACAGTATATGTGATAAATGTTCGTTATTTATTTTTACAAAATTTCTACATATAAATATACATTGYAAAAATAATCTCAGGAGGGGAATGACATCCATGTTCTCCCACTTTTCTTCAAAATAATCATAACTTTAATTCTCATGTATTTCATAAGTACCATGTGATATGTGAACCATTATTAGTACACAAAATCTACCTATAGGTAGATTGGTTATAACAGTTTTATCCCTAAAAATTCATTAATAGTACATTTTTCCATAACCAAAACACCTGTGATATTAATTGGTGATTATTTTCAACTTTATGATAAATAGTGTTTGTTTTATGCGTATTGCGTATAATATTATTTAACATAATATAATAAAGGTACCTACTTACTACATTTTATAGTTTTGTTAATATCATAACATTATTTGCTGCGATAATTTTTTCATCGGCCATGAAGTCAACATATACTTTTATTCTGGTTATATACTCATATTTCATATTTGGTACGTATATTTTAATACTAAACACACTGAAAYGTATGCTAATAGTACTTATATACTATAATTTCAATACCTACATCAAAATACGAGTATGAAAAAGAATCAAATTTAAAAGTTATTTTGGCTGTAGTCAATTTGCACCAAAATTGACCCAAAATATTTACAACATGTGTAATTTGCACCATTTTTTTAAAGTGCGTTTGTAATTTGCACCAAAATAAAGATATGTAATTTGCACCATCCTTAGGTAGTAAGAAATAGGAATTRTAATTTGCACCAAAATTAAAATCGATTCTTTTTTCGATAGTATTTCGATAGTACAAACTTACAAGTTTTTATATCCTAATATAAATTTGGCTTAGTTTTTATTTATAAAATAGCCAAGCTTATACACATATTGATGTAAGTACTAAGTTTATATAAAATTGTATGATTATGAATATAAAAAAAAGTTGGTCAATTAAAAAAATTATATGTTATTAAATCGTATTATTATTATTATTATTAAAATTATTATTGTCATTCATATCAGTCTAGTCTCGACGTCTACGAAGATACCGAGGGAAAATCGAATATTTCAAAATCGAACATTCGATAATTGAACAAATAAATAATCATTTTGGTGCAATTTACAAATTCTATTTTCGACTACCTGAAGGTGGTGCAAATKACATACCCTTATTTTGGTGCAAATTACAACCACTATTTTTGGCTACCAGCAGTGGTGCAGATTATATATCTTTAATTTGATGCAAATTATAAACTCCCGTTATTTTCTTGCCCAGTTGCTCATGTAATTGTCTGATTTATTATGATCTATATTCTATGGCATAGATGTATACATATATTATAGAATATAAATAATAGATAAATATTATAATAGAGATTCTTTAAAAACTGAAAAATCTTGCATGCTAATTTTTGTGTTTTCGGAAAAAATATTATGGTGTAATTTTATTAAGCTAAATTTTTTAAATTAGAATTTTTTTCTCAACCGTTTTTGGGCAATCTCTGACAAGTTAAAATCAGTGGCGTCATCTGGGGGGGGGGCAAGGTGGGCATTTGCCCCCCCCCTTGTCATCAGCGGGCTAATATCGGGCCGGTCGACTTGGCCGGCCCGGGCCGGGTATATGGTGCTAGTTTTGGGCCACAAGCCCGCAAAAATGATTCATAACATTCATGTCATTGCTAAATAGAATATAATCATGATTCGTGGCTCCTACTAACACGTAAATAATTATAAGGTATCTGACATCTGTATTCTGTATGTGCAGTGGTGGACTGGACGAGTGGGATACCGGGTTTCCCGCCTTCCCTGTAGGCCGCTACTCGTATAAAATATTTACTTATTAATATTATTGTGAAATAATAAATTAAAATGTTATCGTCGTTATCGAATAACGGAATAACTAATAAGCAATAAGTAATAAGTATATAAGCATTGAGTATATATTAATTACTCAATGCTAAATACTAATAGGTAATATAGGGTATCCCTCTACATATTATATTTTATATACCTATGTATTAATTAGTCATTGTTACCTTTCAAAAAAAATGTGTTATTTATRCCTAAAGTAACCACAGTTATCACAGATAACTAACTAGTATGTATATAATTGTGTAAGATGTAAGAAGACTGTTTGTACTGAGATAAAAATGTAATTGTTAGCGAGTGGTTTTTTTTTAAATTATGGCCTATGGGTCGGTCAAAATTTTTGCCCCCCCCCCTTTCAAAACCTGAAATGACGCCACTGGTTAAAATTATATAATTATCCTTATTTTATACATCAATAATAAAAAATAAACAAAATAACAAGATAGATATATAACAGAGTGAAGAGGCTTTCAGTGAAGGTACTTAATCTTAAACATTTTTATATTTTCAGTCTGATAACCTYAAGTTTTTGAAATATTTTTTTTCTGACAATAGAAAACATACTACATAGGTATTTTAAATCATTAAAATATGATAAAGCATACTGATCATTATGGTAATAGTTTTTTTTGTCTTATATACACGCAATGAAAGTTGACTGAGTATCGCATACTGAAATATTTTATATGGCGCCTATCTACCATTTCATAACTTTTTAAGTGTTTAATATTTTTAAAACGAAAAAAAAATTATCAGCATTCTATTCGTTGTATGTAGTTTATCAAAGTGTTCATAAAAATATTACACTTTACGAAATTTAAAACAAAATATGGATAGTCTTAAAAATATATAACATAAAACTAGTTTATATTTAAAATATACGTTACAGTTGCCTTCTCAATTATGAAGTATTATACTCTTATAGTCTTACATTTTATATCGTAGAACCRTATTTACTTCCCCGCTTTTTTTCTTAAAATTAGAACCAACCTGTTAAAGTATAACATAGGCAAATAATCTTTTTTTTTTAATTTCAAGTATCTTTATTGATATATTCAAAAGAGCAGTTTCTGAGTTATTAAAATGTAAACAATATGAATTATAAATAATTATCTTTAAAAATGTTAGCAGATTAATATTAATTACTACAATTTTTAAATTATCACAGCCCCTATATCTTCCAAATCCATTTAAATGGACCTTATGGACCTATAACTTTATCCTCAGTACAAAAGTTAAATAACTCAAAAATTATTTGCACGAATTTCAAAAAATTATATATTAAATTATTAACAATATTTTATTATATATTAATTATTTTTAATATTTTAGAAACAGTCATTCTATGTGATAGAGATATCAGAAAACGACAAACTGAACAAACTTGCACAGAGTTAGTACATTAATTATTAACCATATTTATGTTATGTATAATTAATTTCTTGGGCTTAACCCTTTAATATATTTTTTAGCATCTATTAATTATAAATAACTAATAAGTTAATTAGAATATAAAAACAGTTGAAAAAACTTAAGCCTGTAGTTAATTTAAAATTTGGAATAATTTATAAATCATAAATATACTTTTAAGAAGATTAATAAGTACCTATACAACTTAAATGGGTTCAGTTTCAGCAAATATTTAAGTCAAAATTATTTTTTTCTTGACAATGAAATAGTATACGTCATGATAAATCTAATTCTCAATCAAGTATTTATCAATATATATATTACTTAATTATTTATTATGTATTAATTTATATACATATATATATATGAATAATATGAATGTACTTATAAGTGGCTGTTTATATTTTAATGGTAACTCAATCATAATGAAAAATTTATTGATTTCTAAAATAAATGTATCATAGGTMTTTTATTATAGTAGGTATTTAAAAAAATGGGGTTTCTCCTCGCCTTATAAAATAATTATTACGTGTTTAAAAAATATAGATAAAATACTTATTATAATAATAACACATTT